AATATGTCTAATAGATACCGACAATACAGAAACAAAAATTAAGAGCATAAATGCACTTTTGGGACATCGGAAATAGCTAATAGGAAAACTAAATGCCGGGTCTATAAATTATAATCTGATTAGACTAGTGCTTACTTTTCCTTCTGGTGCACTCTATTAATGAAAGTTTGCAATCACTACGCGAAAATCACTTTGACGTAAATGCTTACTTATAGTTTTTAAATCTAGGAACTAAAAAAATCAAATGAATCGCAACAAGCAATATTTAAAAGAAAGATTCTTCGACATATATACATGACAGTGTATGTGAAAATATCATTTGGAGAACACGATATAAGTTAATAAGTTAATGTGGTAACATTAATGATTAGGTTTTTAATACCACGATGGTTGGTACAGAAGTACAAGAAGAATCTGAGGGAACTCAAAACAAGAAACTAAAGGACAAAAGCTAGATATAAGATTAAATAAATCTTTTTCTTCTTCTAGTGCCGATTTTACTAATAAAGATGTGTTTCAGTCAGCATGTCTACCAGGATCTCGTTTTCATTTGATTTTGCCCTTTACAATCAGCTGATATAACTTGTACTTAGTTACTACAATTATTTTTAAGTATGTGCCCCACATATGCTACCTTTTGTTTTGATGGCGATCAAAAGTTCTCCATTTCCATTCTGTACAACATCGTTTCTTTCGTAATATGATCTATGATATTCTGACTATCTACTGATTAATTAAACAAGTCATGCGCTTAAATTTTTGATAAAACTTTTGCATTATCTCATATTTAAACTTTGTGAGGAGATTACTAGTGATAAGCAGTTTGGTTTCCGAAACGCTATGGGTACTCGGAACTTTCTTTTTTGCATGCGAATACTCTTACAAAACAGCATTTAGTTTAAAAAATATAAGGTCTCAGATAAAGTTTCTATTAAGCGTGGTGTCAGACAGGGATGTTTTATGTTACCGATGTAGTTTAATGCCTACACTGAATAAGTTTTAAGGATAACATTAAATAATCGTCGCGAAGGTGTTACAATCGGTGATGAATTAGATACGCAGATCATACCGCCATAATGAGAGAGTGTCTAGAAGACCTTCAAACCTCGTTGAACGCTGTAAAGCGCTGTGAATACACTCAAAAGGGCTTAACAATCAACGTAAAAAAAATAAAACGGATGGTGGTCGAAAAAATTAATATAAAGACTCAGTACTAAAATAAGATACCAAAATCTTGGTTAAAACTGACGAGGAAATTTTAACCAGAATAGAGCTTACATGAAAAAGCTCTATTAATTGGCATTTTGTATTTTGCAGTAGAACTTTTTCATTGACCACACGTCTATTAAGTTTATTAAAGTGCTACCTGTGGTCCGCTTTATTTTATTGATGTTAAACCTGGACAACAAAAATAAAAATCTCAATAAATTAGTAGCGTTCGAGCTGTGGTATTACTACTGTCGCATGCTTAGAATCCCGGGGACAGCACACATATCTGATGCACGATTGTATGCTAGACATCATGCACAAAGAACGAGGATTGATCAACATCATTAAAATGATGGACAGGTCGAACAGTCGAGGAATTGTTTCATCTAGCTGTTAACCGAGAAACATCCCTTTCGCTTTGTTAATACGACGATTTTTTTTTGAACCTTTTCTCTATCCTTCCATTGTTGGATATAGGTCTCTTCCAGTTCTCTTCATCTTTCCCTATCTTGAGCTGTTCTCTGCCATGTGGGACCTCCTTGCTTCTTGATGTCATCTTTCCTCCTCATCTGTGGTCTGCCTTTTTTATCTCTTTGCATTGTATGGACGCCACTTTCCGATGGCATTGTTCCATCGTCCGTCTTGGAGACGTTCATTGTGTCCAGCCCATTTCCATTTCAGTTTTGCTGCTTGTTCTATCGCGTCTACTGTCTTTGTTCTGGTTCTGATCCACTGATTACGTTTTCTATCTCTAAGTGATACACCCAACATTTGTCTCTACATCGCTCTTTGTGCCTTCCTTATCCTATCCAAATTGGCCTGTGTAAATGTCCATGTCTGTGCTCCGTAGGTGAGCACCGGTATTATGCAAGAGTTATATACCTTGCTTCGTAAGTATAGAGGGATTGTTTGATTTTTTAAAACGTAAGAAAGTTTGCCGAACGCTGCCCATCCCATTCTTACTCGTCTCGATATTTCGACTGTTTGATTTTCTCTGTTAGCTCTGATTGCTTGTCCTAGATAGATATACTCATTTACCTGTTCTATTTTTTCTATTTTTATTTTTATTGCCTCTTGGTCTTCCGTGTTTGTCATTACTTTTGTTTTGTTGAAGTTAATTTTTAGGCCTTTTTGAAGTGAATACGACGATAGCTAACGCTTAAAATTAAGCACAGCACACAAAGAAGATGTTATTTCCTAAAAAGCGTCCTAACCCTAAGCGACCTAAACCTAAAAGTTTCCTAAAAAGCGACATCGCATAAGTTTCCAGCTTTCTAATTAAGCTTCTCATTAACATTAACAGTCCAAGCTTCAGCGTATAAGGAAGAATAGAGTGGATATACAATTTTACCATCCGATATCGGATTTGAAAATTTAGTCTCTGGTTACTTAGAAATCTCCTTATCTTCAAAAAAGTTAATCTATTGCTCTATTCCTAATTAAGTCTTTGATTCTGAATTTAGATTTTTAATAATCCAGACCTCTAAGTATTTGTTTCCTTGTTCACTATCTTTATTTTTATCTGGACACTTATTATGTATATTATATATATTATGAGAATATGTTATGATGAGATAAGACAGCGAATGGTTGTTGACGGCTCTCTAAAAACAGAACATAGAAAGAATGAAAGAAAGAAAACAGCTGATATGGTACGGACACGTCCAGAGGATAGATAACTCAAGACTCCCAAAAATAATTATGCAATGAGTACCACCAAACCTCAGAAAAAAAGGAAGACCCAAGAATCTTGGAGATAGGGAGTAACGAAGGCGATGACCGCAAGAGATCTTAGAAAGGGCCAATGGGGTGATAGAGTGTCATGGAAGTTAGGCATCGGACAACGTCGCGAGCCGTATGACTTTGTCTTTCTACTGATATAACCATGGTTTTTGTTTTCTTTATGTTTATTATTCAACTAAACTGTTTTATAATATCGCAAATTGTATTTAGTAGCGTCTACTCTACAGCTACTCCACATCTACTCCACAAAGACACATAGGAGGAGAAGAAGCGTCTGCAGGTCTTTCTCATTTTCATCGATAATAACTGTATCGTCAGCATAACGAATTTTATTTATAGTTTCACCATTTATCTTGATGTCTTCTGTACAGTTTTTAAGTGTTTGTGTAAATAACTCTTCGCACTATAAATTAAACAGTAACGGTGAAAGTACACATCCTAGTCTCACTCCTCTGCTTATATGTTTCGTATCCGTGATATTTCCATCTAATTCTACTAAAAGGAATGAATGGAAAGAATTAATTAAATAAGCCAAGGTCTCACTTGGACTATGGAGTCTGTGGTGACGATGACTCAAACATTACAAGTAATTAAGCATATCTCATAACCATTGCAAACTTCCTTCTTGTGTTTCTTTATAGATACATCCTAGATCGACTTTACTAGATTCCTAAAAGTTAAATTTCTTAACGATGTAAACAACTAAAGAAACAAGTTTTATACCCGTATTCCGGGAATTAAAAAAATGTCGAGTAGAGGTAAATAAAGAATTAATAAAGAAGTACCTTGACATGAAGAGCTAGCTGAAATACAACTAAAAACACCCAGGCACAATTAGACAGAAAACATAATGCAATTAGGAATTATTTTTAAATATTAGTTAAAAAAAAATTAAAATAGTAATCAATATGAAAGTGAAGTCCAAACAAAATCATATCTCTCACTCAAAATATATGAAGACAAACGCGAACTACTTGAAACAAAATCTCACTCGAGGAAGAACCCAACTTTTCCTAAAAATTGTTGTTTTATAATTCTAAAAGATACCTTTCAGAATTATCGCCTTTTGTCACGTAGTTAGTTGTTTCGCAAAGGAAATCTTTAGCAAAATAACTTTGAGTTTGTACCCCTAACTTTGCACTTGAGTAACTTAGAACAGTTCGAATTCTGTTAATCCTTGTTGTTTAGCTTGGAACGAGTTTGAGACCGTTGTTTATCTGCAAATTAAAAATTTTCCGGAACGTTAAACTACACGACGGAAATCGTCTTTTAGATTTTAGTTGTGTAAAAGAACAAATCACGGAAGAAATCGCCTGAGTAATATTATATTTAATAAATAATAAGGTCCAATTTTTAAAAGAAAGCAGAAGATAATAATTTAAAAATGTTCTGAAACTATTTTTTTGTGGCATCTTAATATAGTTTACTATTCTTGTTGGGAATAAGCCACAATTTTATTTTAAAATAAGTTTATTTGGCGCTTCTATTTCCATATCAACTTCTGATGTGGAAATTGAAACCTCAAATAAACTTGTTTTAAAGTGAAATTGAGTCTTATTTGCAACAAAAATTGTTACCATTAGGTAACTTATCGGTTAAGGTTATCATTATGAACACACCAGGGGGCATCGTCTATGCCTCGAAGTACTTTTTCCAATACCTTTGTATGACAATTATGTACATTGCTTGCACTGGTATATTCCCTTAATTGGATATCGTAAGTCTACATTGGTTTGACTTGTTGATAGATCAGGAGCTTGTTAGATATCGATAAGATCGAATATTTTTTTGTATTTTAACTTGAGTTCGTCTTGCTTCTTCTTATCATGTGCTTTTCATCTCAATTTAGCGTCTAGTATTATACCCAGGTATGTATTTAGCCGTGTTGACATAAGAAACTGTATATTGATTGTTATATATGAATTTATGCTTAATAATATTTTTGATAAAATCTATATGTGCTGATTTCAGTTTATTTAATTTGTTACGTCATTTGTTTGTTCACTTTTCCACTTCAGCTTCCACTTCACTTCATTGCATTCTGTAACTTATCTGTTGATTGAATTACGTTGTTACCAACAACCACAATTGTCGTAGCATTAGCAAATTTACCATTTTTCTCTGACACTGTACACTTCTCTGGGGTACCTCTACTTAAACTAATTTTCCTTAGTTCAGAATAAGCATTTTCTTGCTGAATCTTGAAGTATCTCTGTAATGAATATAAAGTTAGCAACTTACAGTATTTAACAGAAAGGGTCATTTTTTCTTATGCTCCAATCCTTTGTTTCAGACCTTGTTGAAGGCCTGTGCTACATAAAAAAATTATGCTAAGTAAAACTTTTTTCTTCAAGTAATCTTTCGATCACGTCCGTGATACGGTGGACTTGAATAAATAGGTGATTAGGAATGCGTACGATGATAGGTTTCAACCTCTTGATTAAGAGCTTTTTGAATAGGTTTGACTTAAAAAACGGTAGCAATTGCTTAACTTTAAGATTATGATGATCTCAGCTACCTTCCATAGTTATATAACTGGAACATAATTTAAACGAAGCTATGCGTTAATTAGATTGATAAGTTTAACAGGGCCTTTCTAGATAACTTCTTACAGACCTGTCTAGTAATCATATTGTATGTGGGGGCCTTTTTAAAATTAACGTTTATGTCGACTTCAATCTGAACTTCTTTAAGTGTAATTAAAAAAACAACCACATCATCTTGTCAAACAATTTATCGGAGAAGTTAATCTATATGTCCTATATATAGTTGGGAAACACTTTCGAGATATTTGGCAAATACTAATGCTTTTTGATCTTTGTTTTTTGCTCAACCTCCTTGTATATTTTTTTATAATAAAAAATGTTTTTTCAAGTAACGAAAAATTAGTTAACTTCAAAAAAATTCAAAACACTAGACAAACAGTTTAAAAATTATATCGTAGGTACATTGTGGGCAACGACAGGAGAACGAATGGCTCTTGGTCTTAACAGAAATGTTAAAGTGACATGTGACATATGACAACTTAGATAAGCAGTCACAATTATAGTGATTTACATATTTTAAAACTTTTATGGTAAACTGAACATTGATCAAAAGTACAACTGTCATCGAATATAGGAAAAGCCAACTAATGAATTATGAAATTATACTAATTACTATATGTGAACTGTATAATCCAGATCTCTCTCTCTCTCTCTCACACACACACACACACACACACACACACACACACACACACCACACACACACACACACACACACACACACACACACACACACACACACACACACACACACATGTCACTGATAGTTTAGGCATTAGTTTGGGGGCAAACATAGTAAACCTAACACCTAGGTGTAAAGGGTGTAAAACTAAAATTATTGATTTATTAAGACTCTGTACCCTGTAGTGTCATATCAGTAGGTTATGATTACGGTCACGGGGCTCTAGGCACAATGTACGGAGACTCGTTGTCAGTGGTCACGACTTGTCAAGATGATTGTTAGAACATGGGTTTTTGGACATTGTTGATTCCAAGAGACTTTGTTAATAAGTATGTTTAAATAAATGTATTAAACACAATGAAATATTATAACTGTAGAAAAACAACTGTTAAGCAGGAAATATAGCTGAGATAATTTGAAAACAAAAATGTCTTTATGTGAAGATTAAACAATTCTCTCCAAAAGAACGCTTAAAGTGACCGGCGATTTTAAATATCAGTTACGCTCGCGAAATCAATTTTTTAAATAAAATTTGTTATATTTTAACCTGTAACGTTATAAACGTCACATCTCTATTAATTTATATTTAAATAATTATTTCATTTTAATTTCTTTATTAATTTATTAATTTGTTTATCTTCAGTTAATTTTTACTATCTTTTTTATTTAAAAAGTAGTTGGCGCCCTCTCTGCTCCGCTATATTTTTTCCCCTGTTGTCATTTCTTCCTCTGTCATTATTTACTCTCTCTTTCTGTCACGTAGAATAAATATTCGCTCTCTCTCTTTGTGTTCTGTGTTGACAAACAAGTTAGTTTCATGAAATAGCAACCTCCTATGACATCTGTGCTAACTTCAAGCAGTCTCCCACTTTCTGTCAATTAAATTTCCGAATGTAGTGGGAATATAATTTTTTGTCTGATTTTGATTTTATAAAAGAAGGCAAAAATTATAATTAGACTAATTTTATGTTCTACAAATTCTCTTGTGTTTATCAGGAATATACCATATTTTTGGAAATATCTACATTTTATCATCTTACATCTAACCGTACGACCACATGTAACTGCAGCTCTCCAGAACTAGAACATTCCACTGGAGGACCTAGTAGTTTGGACACACAAGAAGCCCATCGAACAAAGCAATAAGTATTTCATCAATTGTTAAGCTTTGGCAGGGTCAATTATTGGGATTTTTTATTCTTTTAAATAAATATAATTGGTTAAAATTTGTTTTATTTGCTATCAACTGAGAACTCAGGTTCAATCCCTATTTTAAGACAAGACGAACTCACCCTTGAGATACTGAGCTAGGCAAGGTATAGACGATAAGCTCCCATGGTTGATTGAGGTATTATTTTTACAATAGTACTTCAATTCTCTTTGGTAGTCTTATCGTTACAAACCCTAGAATGCGGGTCATTCGTAAATTTGACGACCTTCAAAATACATTGTGCATTTTCGCCCACTCTCGTTTGTTTTAACGATTTCCCCAATTAAGTACCTTCCTGATTAGTATCGAGCTTGATAGTATCGCAGACGGTTGTTATATTTTCCAATTCTAAGACCATATTTCATCGCTTGGTTTGTAATTTTTACGAAAGTCCTGTGTTTACGTCATATAATAAATCAGCTGGTTCTTAATGTTTGTTTTTTGTTTTTAAGCGTTTACAAAAAATTAAGGTAAATAATATACTATTATTATACTATTATACTATTATATTATACTATATATACTATTATTTAATAGTATATTATTACTCAAATAGTAATAATATACTATTTGAGTTTTTTTTATTAGGATGTCAAATTAAAAGTTTTTGTCCGCAAAAGAACTAAAGGAGGAAGCAGCACGTATTATAAATGGGGAAGACAGTTATCCAGACCCGTTTGAAGGTAGTGGTAGTGACTGGGAAGAGGACAATTTGAAAGCTGAATCGCTGAAATGAAAATATCTCCAGATATCAATATATAATTGAGTTAAGCCTTTGTCTTGCAAAACCACGGATGCTAAACAGATACAACACTGCAAGTTTACGTCGAAATATTTGCTAACACATAGCTGAAATTCTCAACATAACTGAAGGAAATGATGGAATTATGGTCCAGGAAAAGAAGAGAAAGACTTATTTTTATTGTTTAAGCAAAAAAAAAACGCGCATGACCACCAACTATTGCAAGGAGTGCAAGAAGCCAATTTGCGGAGAACACCAAGGAGATATTTGTACCGTATGTTCCAAAAATGCTCAAATATGTTCGTTTCATAATTTTATGCTTTTGTAAGGTCTTAATTGTTTTCTATATATTTAATAAAAAATTCAAAGTAAAAAATATTGGCTGTTTTCGATGGGGTAGTAAAATTTACGATAGTCCCGTAATTACGTTTGGCAAAAACGGTTCCTATTCTAGGGTTAATCAGAGTGTCCTATCGACAAAAACCAAAATGAATTTTAAAGGAAAATAGTACAGATTTTATACGAAATTTTTGCATTATGCAACAAAAGAAGTTAATTTCTATAAAACTGTTAAATAAGTAAAAGTTCCACGATTTTTCCAATTGTTTATGATTCTCATAAGATCAATAAAATTTATTAGTTCCATTGACTGGTCGCTATACAATTTCCATTATTAGAGCATAATTTTTAAAACCTATAATATGAAATTTCGATATTCAGTTTTGGCAACAAATATAACAGAATTGAAAAATGCCCCACACTTCATTGTCATTCATTGCTCCATAATAATTTCATATTCTTGACTTCTTATTTTTTTTAAAACATCCCAACACGTTTTTATTACTTTTTGTTTAAGTCCAGGTCTCTGAACCATATGTGAGGACTGGGTGTATTATTGCTTTAAACACTTTAATTTTTGTATTTATCGATACAATTGTGGATTTAAGGAGAAGATTAAGTCGTCCAAAATAGCATCTATTGGCCGTGCAAATTCTACGATTTATCCCTGCGGTAGTATTATTTTCAGTATTAAGGAACGCTGTGAGGAATGCAATTCGTTCACTGCTTCAATGATGTTGTTTTCTATAACAACATCGTTTACAGCGTTTTTCGTGCTCCCAATAATATTAATATTATCAGCATAGGCAAGAATTTACACTAATTTATTATTTATTGAACAAATGGTTGTGATTTGTGACATACGTATTACTTTTTTCTGAATTATATTTAACAATATACAGGAGAGAGCTCGTCGTTTGTTTTAAAACTAATTTGGTATTTCTAGCTCTTTCATTGCTTTGAACATTTTCCTTCTATTCACAGGGTCGTACGAGGCTTTCTTTTTTATAAATATGTGATGAGTATATATTCCATAATCCAGTGTTTTTCTAAAAATTTATCTTAGTGGTGCAATCTGATGAATTCTTGACTTACCACCTCTCAAACCAGCTTGGTATTATTCTACTATCCGTTCTCCTTTTTTGTATTGTGCAAAGTATTCCAATACTCCAATTATTGGGGAGGAAATTCTGTGTCCATATTAGTAAAGTGATAGCACGGTTACTGGCGCAACTCTTATGAAAAAATCATGGGAAATCGCTAAGGTTGATTCTGGTCATTTTTGACGCTTTTTTTGGTGGATGCACATGACACATCGGATCGTGACGTGTAAGGGATCGTTGGAAAGCGGATGAGACGGGAAATACGTTAACACAAAAAACAAACGCAAATGTTTTTGTTGATTGCTTCACTCCACTTTGACTTTTGACCTCCGGCTAAATTCATCCCCACTCCACGCTCAAGCCGCTCCGATCATGGCAACTGCTTAAAATTTGTTAGAGATGTTCAAGATCTGTTCGAAACCTGATCAACACCCGATCAAGACCTGATCACGACCTGATCAAGACCTGTTCAAGACCCGATCAAGACCTGATCAAGACCTGTTCAAGATCTGTTCGAGAACTGATAAGAATCTGTTCGAGACCTGATCCAGGGCTGTTCAGGGGTTAATCGAATACCTATAGTTTACGATGAATAAAAATTTGAAAAGACGACTTAACACAAAACAGAGAAGCATGATTGACGATGAACAGCTCTAGATCAGGTCCCGAACAGATTCTGATCAGTTCTCAAACAGGTCTTGATCAGGTCTTGAACAGGTCTTGATCAGGTCTTGATCAGGTCTTGATCAGGTCTTGATCAGGTCTTGATCAGGTCTCGATCAGATCTTGATTGGGTGTTGATCAGGTTTCAAACAGATCTTGAACAGCTCTAACAAATTTTAAGCAGTTGCCATGACCGGAGCGGCTTAAGCGTGAAGTGGGGATGAATTTAGCCGGAGTTCAAAGGTCAAAGTGAAGTGAAGCAATCAACAAAAACATTTGCGTTTGTTTTTTGTGTTAACGTATATCCCGTGTCCTTCGCTTTCCAACGATCCCTTACACGTCACGAACCGATGTGTCATCGCGGCTCCACCAAAAAAAGCGTCAAAAATGACCAGAATCGACCTTAGCGATTTCCCATGTTAATTTCCATAAGAGTTGCGCCAGTAGCCGTGCTGCTCCTTTACACATATTCCTTTTATAAGCTACTGTATTGCCATAATGGTATTGTGGCTAGCTTCTTTATATGATCCAGCTGAAAAGTGATCTATTTCAGGTGATTTGTGTCTGTGAAGCAGATTTTTAACTGCTTTTTTAATTTTAAGAATCGTTGGCGGTTTCTCTTTCCTCCTCTCGTTTATTCTCCTAACTTTATTACTTACGTCTTCCAGCTTCTCTTTTTCTTCCTCCATTATTAAGGGACTGTCTAAAGTATTCCACCCATATATTTAATACGTATTTCCTTGTTGTTAATAGGTCGTCATTTTGACTTCTGCATTGTCTTGTAGTTGCTATCAATTCTTTTCTGCTAATGTTGATGATTACCACATATTATACAAGGTAAAATTTAAGAAAAGCGAAATGTGAGAAGACGAAGGATATCCTGGCTTAAAAACCTGAGAGAGTGTTTTTATTGCAGTGGTACGGAACTATTTAGAATAGTGCTTAACAAGGTCCGCATAGCTATATTAACTTATAACCGCTTCCATAGAAAATGAAACTTGTACAAGAGACGATTAGACAACTTAATTCTATCTAGTCAGATGGACATCTGGGAATAAAAGCAGAACACAAATATAAAAAGAATTTGTGTAAAGCAATATGACATACGGTGAGTAGTAGGGTGCATAATAAGACAAACAATAAATACTCATAAAACAATAAATAATAAGATAAATATAAGAAAAAATAGTTTTTTCATTTGCCAATTTTTTTTAACTCCGTTTCCTTCATTCGCTTAGTAAAATAAAGGTCTATACCTGACCTTACCTTTTATCTTTTATTATATCTCCTTAAACTCCCACCGTCCTCTTTAAAATTAAACTTGAATTTTCGGCACGAAACTTCACGAAACTTCAAAAGTATAATCCCTGATAATCGACACAATAACTACAATAATTTCGTCAAACTGTTTATTATAAAAGAAGAAGAGAAGCGAGAAGTTAATTATTAGTAATGCCTTCTCACAAAACGGCGTGCAAACAAACTTAATTTCTGCTGCGGGCAAATTTGCCGTACAACTAACTGCTTGACGGCACTCGTTTCCTGTCTTCCAACTCCCTGCAAACTTTAACGACGTTACTATTTGCTAGTCGTCTGAGATTCTACAAGTGAAATTACTTTTTCTTGTTTTAACTTACATAACAAATTATATTTAATACATAAAGACTACTGTTATATTACATCATATAATACATATAATTAAATAAATATAATTATTATATAATATAAAAGAAAAGTTAAAATAAAAAATGCAGTCTAATGTAAAAAGCTATTTTAAATTGGAGAGGAATAAAGCTCGACAATAGCGTGAGCCCATTATCGCATAATATTAAAATAAATTGGGTTATAAAACCATTAAAGACAACTAAATTGAAACAATAATACTGTTTAATAATATTTTCCAAATTAACTAGTTGCTGAAAATACATTAATTACTGACAGGAATAATTGTTAATTGTAAAACCCTTTCAGTCATGTTGAGTATAAATGTACCCGTTAATAGATCACATGCATGTAGGTGGCGCTGGCGTCAGGGTTTGGTAGTAAAACATAACCTTATTTTATTCTGCCATTTATTTACATTGTTTCGTATTACTCATTTCCTAGTTGATATACAATAATGTAAGTAATTAAATTTTTAATAAGTTATTTAGGACATTTTAATTGTTTGGACACTTTTACTAAAACTTTCCAGTATGCCTTACAATTGTTGTATGCCACAATGCAAGTCAGTTTCCAAAAAACTGACAATGTTAAGTTTCATAATTTCTCCTTAAATAAAGCTTTACAAAAACGATGGTTGATCGCTATCAGGTCTGAAAAAAAAAGTATCAGCAAGCATACAAAAATCTATTTCAGTCACTTTTCAAATGAAATTTATACCATTACAAGTATAAGTAAGTTAAAAAATACTTACAGACAAAAAATTTTTATCGGTGAACTGACATATTTTCTCGAAACAACCGAATAATCCAGTTCACAAAAATGCACAGGGTTGCCAAGTGAAACAAGATTGCAAGAAAAATACAACTAAGAAGCAGTGCAAATATTGTTACACATAAAAAAACAACTGGTATTTAGTTTATAGGTAGATACTGAAAACGATTATCGAAATGAAACGATTATGATTAAAAACGATAGAAGAATTATCCAAAATTTTTATTTTGTCGTAGACTCACAGACCATACCTGATGAACGGAGAGTTAAACACTGTGAAACTATGGCTGAAAATCTGCAAAAATGTATTGAAATATATATCTAAATCTGAGTAATAATAAATATGAGGTTACGATTTAATAACAAACCTCAACGTAAGCGCTCCTTAAGGATATTAATTAAGCGCTCCTTAATTCTATAAGTGTTATAATTCTGCATTTTGTACCCAGTATTCTAAAAGAAAATTAACGTCATTAAAAGCAATATGACGGCAATATCATTACTTGTTTTCTATAAAAGTCAATAGCAGTTTATAATTCAGAGAAATGTTGAAAGTGGTGTTACTTCTTACTAATTATGAATATATTTTATTCAAATGTGACCTTTTTAAGATATAGAAGTATAACCCAAATTCGATAGGCAAAATTGTATCAAAAATGACTAAGTGCCATTTTTATTTTCAAAGTTAAATGCCTCCAATAAAATATTTAACGGAGAAGGAGCTGTTAGAACAGCTAAAAAAGACTATCCGACGTAGAAAAAGATGTTAGTGATGACAGTAGCTGGGAAGAAGAAATAAAAGTACGACAGAGAATTGAGAAGAATTGAGAGAAAGAGGATAATAAGAAAGAAAAGGCAGATGATGATCAACAGGGCGAAAACGATGGTACTATGATAACTTCGTTACTTTAAAAAAATATTTAAAATGTTTACAGAATGTTGTGTACAACTTGTAACACGACAATAACCTGGATATCTAATGAAAACTATTCTGAGAAATATCCAGTTACATATTTTCTGAGACATTTTCTCGAAAGTTTATTTGAAAATTTTGTTCAATATACAGATATGTATACTTCGCAAACTGGAATTAAGAAATGTTTACCATGTAACCTGCAAGAAATAAAATCGTTATTTGGCCTAAGTATTCTAATACGCTATCTAACATTTCCAAAATTTGCGAATATATTGGGACAAATTATTAATCATGGATAGTTTTCCAGACAGTTTTTTCAAAATTCGCACACACAATTGTGTTGACAATCTGGAACCCAGAGCAACGACAAAATATGCAAAGTTCGACCAGTTTTTGAATCAGTCCGAAAGAGTTATAGAGAACTGCAGATAAAAACAAATGTTTGCATAGACAAACAAAGCTTTAAAGGAAGATTGTCTATAAAGCAATACATCAAAAACAAACACAATCCATGGGAAGTAAACTGTATTTATTTGTTGGTGAAAGTGAATTGATTTACATTTTTCTAATCTATCAAGATAGTACCACAGAACCTTCTTATTTGACTATTTTAACTATAATTATTTGAAATTTGGACACAGTGCAGCTATCGTATTGCAATTATTATCAAAAGTACTTGAACCTAATAATCGTGCATTGTACTGTGACAATTATTAAACAAGCTATAACCTTTTACAAATTCTCAAAAAAAATCAATACTTCAGAGAGAGTATCAACGAAACAAATTATCTCTTCTGATGGAATTGTAGTAACCAGATGGTTAGATGACAGGCCAGTGATAATCAGTGATGATGAAAAAAAACAAAATCTTTCATTGACGTAAGTCGACCCGAAGTTATACAAAAGTATAATAAGTCCATGGGTGGCATAGATAAAACAGATACTCTTATTGCGTATTACAGAATGAAAAATCGTTGCAGAAGTCGACTTATCGTCTAAGTTAACACGGCCCTAACAAACACTTATAATATAAACGAGATATGCATACTTTAGGAATTCCACAAAAAGATATCATGGACCTTCTACACTTTATGATAAAATTTGGCGAACCCTTCACAAAAGTCAACTCTTTCAATATCTGAAAACATGGAAGATCTTCAAGTGATACATCTAGTCCAATAGTAGCTGCAACACGCCAAAATGTTGAAACAAGACCTCCTAATGAGATGCAATTTGATAATATTGGACATTTTGCAGAGCACCCACAGCTACCTTTAACTTTAAGATATAAAAACCGTGGTTGTACAGGAAAATGAAGATGGAAATATCAGAAGTGCAATGACCACTTATGCCTTCAAAAGAAAATATTTTTTTATGTTTCATATGCGCTCGTTTTTTAAAATGGTTTAATAAAAAAATACTTTTTCATTCGCTAAAAAAAAGCGGTACTGAAAGCATTAAGTTGAATGATAATAGATGTAAAAAAAACATCACTAAGAAAGCATTGGAAATAAGCCCCAAGAACACAAGAATATAAAATAAAAAAATGTTTTAAATTAGGATGAAGAGTCAATGCGTATGTACAGTCGAACACTGTATAAAATGAAAAGGGAGATGAAGAAATGTATAAAGATAGAACGAAAAACTAAAATATTAGAGACTGCAGATCATATTGTAGCATTTTTTTTATCTCGTTCTGTATAAAGTTTTAATTTACGTATTTCAATATACATTCTGTATAAGATTTTATTTATGTTTGTTTTAAAAATCTTTAAAAAAACAATTTATTGTCTATTGGAATAAAATAAAGATGTTTATTTACTCAGCCAAATTGTCTTTTAATTCGTCTTCTCTGTTTCGCCCATGGTAATTTGAAACGAATATTGAAGTAAAAATCACGAAAGTAGAAATGCGAAGATTTATATTGACGAAGTCAAAATACAGATTTTTGCTTTAATCCATGCCTTTAATAAATTGCAAGGTAAAATAGAGGATGTTAAAAATGCAAAAGAGAGATATGAAAAATCTAAAGTTGCATTCCACAACATATCTCATCTTCTTCTTCTAGTGCCGTCTCCGCTAATAAAGGTTGGCTATAACCATTGCAAATTCGTCTCTCTCTTCTGCTTCTCTTAAGAGCATTTGTGTGTTTATCTACGCGTCTATGTCGCGACTGTTTTTTAGCCAGGATAATTATCGTGTACCAGAACCCCTTTTCTCTTACATTTTACCCTGTATGTATGTGCCCCAAATATGCTCTCTTTTGCCTTTCAATGGTGGTTAAAAGTTCTCTGTCTCTTTCCATTCTGTGCAACACCATTTCGTTCATAATATGAT